GATCTTCTAACGCCTAGTGCTTAGCAATTCTCGAATTAATAAATTTTTTTCAATTATTTGCCAGAGAAATTGCTAGTCTTATAATATGTATATCTATATCAGATCATAACAGCAGGTTGGTTCACGGGTTGTTTACGGGTAGACACAATCACAACCCAGATACCCGACCCACCCGGGTATACCCAGATTAACCCAACCCGGGTTCAATCACTAAAAATAAGTATACAATATCACTCAAATAGCTTGAAGATGCAATTACATGAAAAAACTAGGTACTATTCACGAATCTTGCTAACAAACTTATGACTTTACAAATCTTAACGCATTGATTAAAAAGATCTTTATACATAACTAAAAACACGAATAAAAGATATGCTGTGATTATTTTGAACATTAAAATCCTTAGTATTTACTAGCTAAATTAATAAACAAGAAGCAAAGTATGAAATTTTCACGAACTTAAATATCATATTTAAACGATTGAATTCAATACAGCAAAAATTCTCGAAATAAAGTGAAAGTCAAAACGAAAGTCAAAAAGAAGGTCAAAGTCAAAACGAAAGTCAAAGCAAAAGTCATAGTGAAGGCCAAAATGTGAGTTTAATTGAAAGTCAAAGCAAAGGAGTGTCAAAGCGAAATCAAAGCCAAAACGAAAATTAAAACGAAAGCCAAAATGAAAGTCAAAGTCAAAGCGAAGCGAAGACCAAGTGAAAGTTAAAATAAAATTCAAAGTTCCAATATTTATTAAGCATGATAAGCATAACCGCAATCAGTTTTCGAAGTCATATATAAACTAGCAAAAAATCCGGCTACATTTTTTCTGGGCGATGCTATGTAAGTCTTGTAGCTTAGTCGCCTAGTATAGCTCAGAGATCGGACAGGCCCTTATTTGTAATAATCTTCGATTTTGGGCTGCTATATGTAAGAATTTTTATTTTGGGCCCTCATCCGTAATTATTTTTATTTTGGGCCTTTAAGTGTAAATTTCTCTATTTTTTATCTAGACAGCTTTTTAAAAAAGTACAGTCAACTCCCTCTAAATGCACGTCCTCTAAATGCAACTTTTCTTTAAATGCAATTAAATATCCTGGTCCCGTGTTGGGACTTATAATATAAATGCAATTTCTTTTTCTATAAGTGCAAGATTTTTTTTAGCCAGCATATATAAAATTATTTTCTCTAATTGCAAGATATTTTATTAACTAATTAAATTGACTTAATTAATTAAAAGTTTATTTCTAAGTGCAAGATAGTTTTTTTAACTTATAAACTTGCATTTAGAGAGAATTAATTATATATTAATTTAGTTTTCTTTAATTGCAAGTTCTCTCTAAATGCAAGCTATTTTGCTGGCTCATTGATTTGTACTTAGAGAGAGTTGACTGTACTTTAAAACAATATAATTTTTTTTATATGAAAAAATGAGAATAGCTCTAAATATGAAACCACCTTTTGCAGCCTAATTAAAATTTTTCATTGTGAAATTTTACCAATAGCCTTAATCCTTACTCTACATTGTTCTTACCCTAATCCTAACTAACATGGTTTAGTTTTTTACTTAAAAAATAAAACAAAACATGACTATCACGTTACACCTGATCCTAAAATTTGATTGGTCAAAATTATAGGGTAAACAATTTTTTTTGGAAATATTTTTGTGCTGATAAGTCATAAATCATATCTGCAATATCACTACCATTAACCGTTTTGCGTTTTCTTTAAACCTCTTTGAGTAAGGTAGGTTTTATACTTTTTATTTCTTTTCTATAATTTACGACAACTTTGCTAAGAACGAATGACGTGTCTGCGATAACGAGTTCTATCGGAAGCCAAGTAATTGGCAAGTCATCGTCTAGGGATGGCCGGCTGAATTTGGGATACAAAGTTGTTTGGTGTTTATTGAGTACTTAGAGTGTCTGCGATAACTAAGTTCTATCAAAACCCAAGTAATTAGCAAGTCATCGTCTAAGGATGGCCAGCCGCTGAGTAAACAATAGCACACTTCAAGGTCATTAATTAACTTTTAACAAACAAGATGCACTCATCTCTCTTTTTTTATTAAAATTAAAATGCATAACATACCAAGTATGATTTCTCCACAGACGAAAATGAAACAACGACACATATATTGGATGATTTTACATAACAATCTGACTCCTTTCGTGTATCATGCTAACACATAAATCCTGTGCAATAAAAAAGTACGAAAAATGCCTTGATGAAGCTATTGATTTTTGTGAGAACCTGGATCTCAAAGAAACTATTAATGTATATAATCAAATTTGTTTTACTTATAGCATATTGTATTTCTAGCATGTACTTTCTTCATTATAGAAAAAAAATCGGTGCGCTCAATCACAAAATTTTAATTACTGTTTAACAGAATAATGAAAATATCGATAATGAGAAAGGTAGTAACAATAATGATAGCGCCAATAACTAGGAAGGCAGTAACGACAATAATGATAGCACCAATAATGAGAGAGGTAGTAACAATAATGATAGCGCCAATAACGAGGAAGGCAGTAACAGCAATAATGATAACACCAATAATGAGGAAGGTATTAAAAGTGATGAAGGTGCTAACAGTGGTAATATAAACGAGGAAGAATATTTAGATGAAAACAAGGTCTGCATCTTTTATTTGAAATACATATGAATATGATAAGAAAAATATTAGTTCGTTTTGTCTTATTATAGATAATCATTTATGATATTCTTGATTAACATAATTATCCTGTCATGGACCTCCGGCTACATTTAGAACTATCCCTTTCCTTAGATCAAGAATTGCAAAATAAAATTCTACATGAAATTTTCAACAAAATAGACAAGGATTATATAACAGACAAAATTCATAATTTTCTCACTGAATTTTTTAATACTGATCATAGTAAACAAGAATAGCACGAATTAGTTCGAAGAATAGTCATTAACGAAAAAGACTGCAAGGTACAAAAGAACTGCTTAAGGATACATTAAGATAATTGTAAGTAAAAAGTTTTAGAGTATCCCATTTTACAAAATTACTAATACACTATTACGTATAGTATAAAGGCCTTCTATTTAGATGCACCCCTCGAGAGATGTTACGATTTTAGAAAGACCTCATCTTAACAAATTTATACATCCGTTAATTGATAATGCGTTGTGGATGTTTACAAGTATTAATTATATATCGTAAGTTGAAACTATCTTTATTTCTCTCTTTTTGATTTTCTTAGAATTAATTACATAATTTCATTAGTAGTGAGATTTCTTTGCAAAGAAAAGCAAAAGTCATAGCATATGGTGTTGGATACCTTAATGATGTTTCAAACTACCAAATCATTTACAAAACTAGGGGCGAAGAATGAAAAAAATGTTAATGTCAATAAGAAGAACATCAAAAGCATGATACAACTGTTTAACCATATCATTGTATCTGAGGCTTCAAAATGAAGACAAGTATACACAGGCCTTCGAGTATATGGTGCAACTGCTTGTAAAACCGAACTCTCCCTTACAATGTAGTATGTAATACGTAAAATTTCATAGTGATGTCATATAGCCTAACTCAATTTTATACGATCATCAGGAATATATCGTTTGTTCGAAGCAGGGACGTGTAGATTTTGTGATATAATTTAGCAAATTATGTTTTCGATATCAATAAATTATTTGCTTTTACTGCTGATTAAGAATAAAAACACAGATTCAATTACAGTTACTTATCTGTACATAAATTTTAAAAATTTATATAATAAAAAAAACTTACAATTTTTTAATAAGTGTGTTGCACTAAATTTCATTCAGACTGTTTATGTTTTACACTCGTTATAAAAGTGCTTGTTGTTGTGTCCAAACTCCTATTATAGCTTTATTTTCTTGATAATATTATGTATTCTAAAAAAAATTATATATTTTCATATATTATTATATAGTTGACTCTGTATATATCAGCCTCAATATAATGACTTCTGGACATAATGAACACAAAGTTTTAAATTTAATAACAGTTCAGTATAGAAAGTGCCATGGGTTCTTAAGAAAGCATAGTAATTTTCTGAAAATTTTTTTCCAAAACCAGTATTTGGTTATAGAAAGAGTTGACTTTAATTTATTCTGTTCGCAGAACAAAATACTATTTAATAGCAATTAATTATACTTCGCTAAACAAAATACTATAATAATTTATTATATTTGCTAAAAAATATCTATAGCAGGTTAATATGCTTGAAAATATAAATCCCCGCTTGAAAACTACATTTTACTATATCGAAGTAAATCGAAGTAAATCGCAGGAAATCACAGTAAACCACATACTTTCTGTGATTTGCTTCGATCACAGCAAATCACAAAATCTACACGTCCCTGGTTCGAAGTGGACCGTTTTAGTCTCCCAAAAGATTGGGTAGATATGCCTAATTTCATTTTTATGTATGAAGCTCTAATAAAGTAAGCAGTAAGTATATGCATGAATTTATCATCTGTTTTTCAAAATGTCACTTTGAAATAACGAAAGCAATGACCGTAACAGTGACTTTTTTTAAAAAAAAATATAGATTACCCAACAATAAAATGATGATACCTTCGAATAATATTAGTTCGGACGAAGAATCTACACCATCAGTTAAGAAAATTTTTTTGAAGAAAATAATTTTTTATTACTAATAAAGAAACAATTTTTTTAATTCTTTAAATGAAAGTTTTAATATCGATAATATATTTGAGATAGATTTTCCTTTTCTCAAAAAACTTATATATAATATATGAAGCATAACATTCTACGCCGCTACTATAAATAGATAGTAAGCAAAGCCTATTTTCAAAAATGGCAAATGACGAACCTAAACACAAAAAAGATGAAAGACGAAACCCTGATAGAACATTGAAACCCTGACGAAACGTTGAAACCTTGGCGAAACGTGAAACCACGATGGAACTCCAACAAAGATATGCGAAACTTCGTGAAATTTAAACTTGTTTTTTTACTTATCATTCTAATTGTTGGATATACAATACCAAGCAAATACTCTAGTTAAAAATGCGACTTTCAATTTTAATAAAGGTAAAATTTTTTTTTTTACTTATCGTTCTGATTGTGTTTTACATATGATTGAAAAATGTATTAAGTAAGATGAAAAGCTAATTTAAATTTTTCTTAAGATTTACTTTTTTTACAACCTTTAGTTTTATTGATTTGCCAATTTTTAGACCCATCATATTTTGCCAGCTTCTCCACATTTCGCAGTTTCGCCATTTCATTTAAATTTTTTTTTTTTAAGCAAAAATCGAGAAATTAGGGTTTCGACTTCATTAGCATGAAATCTCTAGGTTTTACTTAACAACTATAATTGTCACGTCAAAATATTCAGGACAAACAAATTAAAATGTTTGATTTTACCGATTTTTACCTGTTACACACGTAGTTATATATAATAAAAAAAATAAAAATCTCAGATTAATTGAATAAAGCAAATTATTTAACATTAAATATATAAGCTTACGTTACGTAATATAAAAATATTTAATGAACGTACGTACGTATATACAATTCCCAATCATGATTTTTGTTAAAATCTTTTTTTTTTAATGATCCATACCGATACGTATTTGATCTATTTTTATTATAATCGTAAATTTTCGTGAGGTCACATAATTAAAGTATTTACAACTATACTATTGTTATATATACTGTATATTATATATTATGAGTATAGTATGCTAGTTTTCTATACGTACTCAAATGTGATTTTTGTAGTAGATATATACCACTACTTTACTCCACAACTATTCGTAACACCAAGGTCTAAGCTCTGTTAACGATAGTATACTCATTATATGTTAAAGAGATTTTTATTATAGCCGCATCACAATACCACCTACTAAATTCCAAATGCTTTAACCCTAACTTGACTATTAACATGATACTTCGTGCTTATGTCACAACAACCAAGAACGATAAAAATGCCATCGGAACGACCAAAACCAAAGTCACATCAGCGATACCAACAACGACAACACCACATTTCAATAATGCAAATCAAGTAAAAACGACGCCAAAAACTACGCCACCAAAATCGACAACAGCAGAATTACTGTAAATGATTAATTTAAAAACATGTATACTACTCAATTTTATAATAATTCTTCCACTTTAATAGTTATTTGATAACTCTATATAGATGTAAAAAAAAAACGCTAATACAGTAGATAATTAATGTCGTTATATTTTAATTATGGTTTAGTTATATTTTAATCGATTATATTTTAATATAATAAGGACAGCCAAAAAAAAAAAAATTAAAAAAAAAATTAAATAATAATACTGTTACTTAGATATTCGATATTACTCTAATAAATGTTTGTCTTTATTAAAACAACTAAATAAAATAATAATTAATTCTATATTACACTAATAAATTTTTGTTAGTTTTTATTAGAATACTTAGTTTCGGCTATAATAAAATAAACAATAATACTAGTAATAGCTTACTTGTCCTAGTTACCACGTAGAGGTGTATCCTATAACTAGGAAAATGTTTCAACAAAGAACTCGCAAAATCTCAAGTGAGCTGGGAATTTTATCAAATGTCAATTCCTCGAGCAAAAACTGATTAGATAACCCCTGCCGCTTGTCAGTTTATGCTTTAAAGTTCAAGTTGACGAAACGTAACCTGCTCGAAAGGAACACGAGAAAAATAATAATAATAAATGTTTTGACAAAGAACTCGCAAAAACTCAAGTGAGCTGGGAATTCTATCAAACGTCAGTTCCTCGGGCAAGAACTGATTAGATAACCCCTGCCGCTTGTCAATGTTTGCTTTAAAAGCTCATGTTGCCAAAACGTGACCCGCTCGAAAGGAACACGAGAAAAAAATAAAATAAACCGCTAAAGAAATAAAAATAAAAAATAAAAATAAAAATAAAAATAACAATAAAAATAAAATAAATGAAACTACAAAATTACAAAATACGAAATAACAATTATAAATTACAAAGTTGTAAATTACAAGAAAATAAA